CGTATATTTACAAATATTTCATGAATGAGACCCTATATTTATCCACGTTCTGCTTTCTATCATGCGCCATGCACGTTTGTGATGACGTAATATGCACGCAAATGCACCAGGGTTTGATGGAATCAAGTTGAGTGTGAAACCAGACCAATGCTGCGGGGGGGCGCCGGGAACAAACGCGCTCAGGCTCGGACCAGCCCCCTTAGAGAATCTCAACATCACTTAATGGTTATAACACAAATCTAGTTATTATCTAGTTACCTTCCAGTTCCAGCAGAGTTTAGCTCCAGGCCTAATTAAAAACACCTGAACCAGCTAATAAAGTCTTCACAATCTTTAGAAATCTCCAAGCAGGTGTACTGAATAAAATCGGTAAACCTTTTAATTGGTTAACACTAGGGGTGTTGAAATTATTTATCAACAACAATTTATTATATTTCATTTATTTGTTTAGGCCAGTGTTTCCCAACTATGTTCCTGGCGGCACACCAACACTCCGTGTATTCTTTGTCTCCCTTATCAAACACACCTGATTCAACTCATCAGCTCAAATTCAGATGGGTTAATGAGCTGATGATTTGAATCAGGTGTGTTTGAATACACGCAGTGTTGGTGTGCCGCCAGGAACAGGGTTGGGAAACACTGGTTTAGGTAACATATCGCGCATGTAAATGTCCAGCACGGCGATAATGAAAATAATTAAAACACTGTTATGAAAATAATGCTGACAAATAAAGATATTTTATCGTGTGCACGATTTAATATTCCGTTCCCACAATACAAACTGGAAATCAAGACATCTAAATAGTAAATTGTGTGCACGATTTAGCCTACTATTTTTTTCCCTGCATGTCATGTGCAGGGCTCCTTTAACAATGCATTAATGTTTTTTTAAAAAGAAACATCTAAACAGAATAGTTGCATGAGGTAAAGCTGAAGAGTGAATGAACACACGTAAACTGAAGCCCGTTTTATGTGATGCATAGGACTAGGAGATTTAGATGATCAACAACATAAACTTAACATTACAACTTGTATCAGCACAAAAGAATGCAAATGTGAGTGAACTAGCGAACTGTTACGTGCTAGCCAGAAAGTGTTACTCCCGTTGGGGATGCGCTCTTCCCGTGTAACGCACTGAAACGAGGGCAAATAAAGCACAAAGATTTCACAACATTCTGCATGTAAATAAAATTTCGTTTGCAAATATTGTTCTTTTTTAAATATTAAATGGCAGATTGGCATATTTTGCAATTAACTGTATCAGAAAAAAAGAAATATATTTTTTGTACAAGTTACAGCAAACATTGTTGTCCTAAACGATCGTCGCTGTTCCGCCCGAGTACTCGTGGATATGCCTAATCTGAACCCAATGACTCTGGCATTAGAAAAACAACCTTTGTGTTTATTTTAAGCACAAGAAGAAGCTGGACTATGTGGGTGTGTCACTAATGGCCCGTTCACATGACATATATCCAGACACTTCCTCAAAGACTATATACTTGACATGTCATTGGCAATCAATCAAACTGCTGCAGTTTTGGATGTACAGGTTTCGGGTCGAGCTGCAGAGACCAGCTTGCTTTGTGTAGATCACTCAGCTATGTGTGTCAGTTACATAACTCCTTGATAACTAGTCATGCTCAGACTTCCAGTAAACACAAAACGGTTTTTATAATAACAAAAGAAGCACATTAACAGAGAAGAGCCAAAGCAGTGCCCTACTATCATGCCCTCTGAGCACATTTCATTCGATTACAATTTATGCTCACACAAGTCAGGATTTGCAAATAGTTGAGGAGAGATAGCGGTAAAAAACATGATGGAACATGATTGTGAAAAAGAAAATGGTGGCGTTCTATCTGAATGTAGTGTCAGATATTGTGTTCTTGCATTGACCTTACAGCATTTTTAAGTAGTTTAATACTTTGGGTAAAACTGTAACAAACCAATAATGGTACAGCAAGGTACAGTAACTGTTAGGCTAATTTAGGGAGCAACACTGACTTTAAAAATCAGTGCTGGGTTTTTTTTTCTGGCCTGACGTTTTCATGGTTTTAAGGCAAGGCAAGGCAAGTTTATTTATATAGCACATTTCATACACAGTGGCAATTCAAAGTGCTTTACATGGAAGAAATTAAAATAATCAAAATAAATCAGAATAATTAAAACAGTTTAGAATAAAAGAATGCAATCAATATAAATAAAAACAGTTAAGAGTAAAAATAAAATAAAGTAATAATTCAAACATGTTTCTTACTGGAGGAAATGCATTTCGTGATTATTCCCAGTATAGACCATTTTGCAAGATGTAAACAACACTGGTCCAGAAGCACTTCCTGTTTCAGTTTTTTAACACTACATAAAAGCTGGGATACAATACAACCAACAGAACATATAAAACTGAATCAAAAAGTTAAATGAACATCTTTAAGATGTTTTCTTTACATGTGAAATAAAGAAACCATTTACAAACTGAAACAGGAAGTGTTTCTGGACAGTGTTTACATCTTGCAAAATGGTCTATAACAATTTAATTAATTTTAGGGATAACTGAGTGTGGTTCCCATACTTTTTTGTTTTTATTGTTAAAACCTTCTTTTGTATTATTAATTGAAATAATATTCTGAAATGAAGCTGCAGAAAAATAAAATCTAAATATTAGAAATGTTGTCTTATAACTGAAATAGTTTTAGTTTGAGCACTAAAATTACTAAGTGCATATAAATAAAACCTAAAATTAAATGAATTAAATAAAATAACTAATTAAGTAAACCGAAACAGTATTATTAAAAAAACAAATAAACAAGAAAAAAGCATAACAAAACTCCTCAACATAAACTAAAATGAAAATGAAACGTACCACCATTGGTCTGTGGTGATTATACTGTATAATAGTCGAGTGTGGCTTTAACTCTAACGTGCAGTCTTTTGAGGTCAGACACACAAAAACATGAATAGGGTTGGGGATTGACACAAATTTCACAATTCGATTCGATTTCGATTCAATATCTATTTATTAATTAATTATGAAGTGCTATATAAATAAACATGGCGTGATGTCACTGGAGTGCTAGTCTCAGCGTCAGACATCACACCCACAGAACATTGGCTGAACATCTGATGCATTTGGCACACTTAACTGGAATCACTTCAGGATATTCTAAAGCTGATTGGAAACAAATCCTTTGTGAAGCCAATCCCCCTCATGGAGGAAGAAAGTGTTTGTGTTTGCAACTGTGACAATGAGCGCTTACCTTAAAATGCTGGATTATCAAAAGTATGTGAAGGTTGCAGCTCCATTGTTGCAGTATACTTGCACAATGTTCTTGAATGAATAATTTATTAGATGCACACCGGTTTGTCTGTTATCGTTGGGACATCGATTTACATTTTCACACCCCTAAACATAATGGTTGACACCCACAAACTGTGATTGGTTGTGTTACATGTCAGCCAAACGTCTGCTCGGGCAGTCCTTGGCCAGTGAAAGCTGTGCTGGAGTCCAGACCTTCTGCCGTCAGTCTGAAGGTCTGGCTACGAGAGACTACTGGAGTGCCAAATGGCAGAGTTTGTGTAAAGATTCACATGGCTATTAGATGCTTTTTAACTGCTGTTTTCTCACCGCTGTCATTTCTGTTGTGCGTTTATTGAATTATTGAGAGGAAAGTGCGTGCCACATATTTACATATAAATGTATGTAATCTACTCATCACAATGTGATCTCAGCACACCAGCACGCTCCCGAAAAATCTTCGTTTGAAGGGCTATCTGGCCCTTCACCCTAGCCCTTCCCCTCCAACCAAAAGAGAATTGGGGCAGCCCTACCCCTTCACGTGGACGCGCAAAACGGAGGGGAAGGGGAAAGTGAAGGGGTAAGGGGTAGAATTGGGATTGGCCCCAAGATACATTTATAATCACTACAGACATTTCCATGATATCTTAAGATTTTAAGTCATTTCTAAGACTTTTCCAGGTACAAATTAAAAAAAAAATCCATAACGTAGGGCCCTATGAAATCCGTTTTATTTTTTCCCAAATTCCGTTTTTATCTTCTCCCAAATTCCGTTTTTTCCCATTTTAATTTTTAGGAATTCTGTTTGTTTTTTTTACCCCTGACTGTTATTTTAGTCGTAAAAAGACTGTGCTTTTAAAGTTAATGATTAAAATGTATTAAAAAATACAAATAAATTAGGAATGACCTTAAATTTATTGAGGTAATACAGACATTTACTCAGAAGCCTTTTCAGGACAAATACTGCATGATGCAACATAACACTGCACTCTTCAAGTGACAAAAAAATATGGTTATGAGCTTTAAACTGTCCAGTAATATAAATTATATTAGTTTATATAAGTTTAAATAAAGTCACACTCTGTCTCTCTCTCGCCCAGTGTCGCTTACGGATTTTTCTTCGGTTTGGTCCAATCCGGCGCCTCATAGAAAGACGCGTTGTGCACGTTGTGTGTGTGTATGTGAGAGAGACGCATGAGTGAGAGAAGAGACTGAAAGAATATGCTGCGTGTTTTAAATAGTGTTAAAAAATGAAACGCTGTATGTGGCTGCGAATTCGTGAATGTGTGGAAACACCGCGTAAGTCACGTGCGAACAGCTCGGCTCGGCACTGACCGCTTATAGCTTTGAGTTTCTTAACTTTTTGCCGATGAAAGCAAAGCCGTGGAAGGGCCGCTTCGCCATGCTTTCATTGTTTTGATTTCGTCATTGTAGCTGAAATGATGGGTTGAGGGGGTTGAGTCGCCCAGATTTGCTTCCCCCGGTCTGCATTTTCACCAGACACACGTTCTTCTCCCACACAAAAACAGAATACCAAATATGTAAAATTCTACGAAATTCCGTGTTAATACTAGATTCTGTGTTAATTGGCCAATTCCGCAATTCCGTCCGTGATTCCGTGATCGCGGAAATCATAGGGCCCTAGTAACGCTGACAATTTTCATCAGTAACTGAAGCACTGATCATCCAGGTGGCTTTCATGGCTTACCTGGCATAGGGGCTTGTGTAGTTTTTGGAAAAGCATTCGCTGGCCCTCTGTTGCATTCCGCTTGCATTCCCAAAGCCCTTTCCCCTGCTCCAACTGTCTTCTGAAGAGGTCAGAGGGGTGTACACGTTGAAGATAGGCTTCTGATCTTTCTGCTGGCTGAGAGCAGCTGTGGAAGGACCGGCCCCAAAGAGAAAGCTCTGTCCACTTGAAGTGGTGACACCACAAATGTTAATAGGTGTGCTGTGGAGACCCATCTGACAGTAGTTAGTCCCACCTACGTTCTCCTTTTTGATGACCCCTGGAGTACACAGCTGGATTATAGAGTCCTTCTCTACTTTCACATTGGCCAGGCTGGTAGTGGTGGTGCTGGAAGTGCTCATGCCATTGAGCGTGCTGTTTACAGAGATCGAGACCTTTGAGTCTCTCTCTGCATTTGTCGACAAGTCTCCGAGCATAGCATCTTCACCTATGGTGGAGAGGAACGCGTCATCTGCCACATAGAAATCAGAGGGCGATCCGTCCAACTCAAAGTCCTGCAGGAGGTCCAGAGTATTGTCACTAAATAGCTTATGATTGCCAACATCAACATCTTTCCCCATTGGACCAAAGGAATCTTGGTCTAGGTCAATGTCGCATTTATCCATGGGAGAAAATTGCTCTGTTTTTAAAGGAAAGAGATTGGGGTCGACTCCACCGATCATGGAGTCTATTGAAGGGGAGGAGCTATTGATGTCTGCAATGCTGGCCTCCAGACCTGAGAAGCTGTCTCCCAAAGTGAAAGAGCACAGGGCCTGTTGTTGAGCTCTCTGCTCCTTCCCGACCGCTTTCTGAAGTTCTGAATCTTCCATGAAGAAGCCAAGAGTGGAGGTGGTGTGCTCCTCAAGAGTGGGTGAATTGCTCAGGCCATTGGGAAGGTCCGCGGAAACTGGCTGCATCAGTGGACTAGGTTGAGGAACCATGGACGTGGGAGCGACAGACATGGCACTTTGTATTCCGCTTCGTAAAATTCCTTCAACTGGGCTGTTGCTGTAATCTAATATATTCAAACGCTCATCTCTCTTTTTTCAGTCCTCCTTGATCCATCTTGCGTTACTGTCGTAAAAACAACAAAACAATTATATTTTCTAATACGCCATTACAAAAAAAAAAAAAAACAGTTTACTGTAAGTAACATGAAAACAAAACATGATTAAAAGAGGTAAATGCACTATTGTCGCACATAACTTTTCGCTATGAAAAATTGTCCGAAATCATGCATCTTTATTTGCAATGTTTGCAATGTTGCAACAGTGCTGCTTAACATTTTTAAAACCTGTGAGACCTTTTTCAGGACTCTTTGAATAAGTTAAAGAACAGCATTTATTCAAAATAGAAATTGTTTGTAACAAATTAAAATGTACACTAGTACCGTTCAGAAGATTGGCGTCAGTTTTTTCTTTCTTTTTAAATGAATACTTTTTTTCAGCAAGGATTAGTTAATTTGATACAAAAAAATTAGTAAATATTTCAATTTTGAATGAATGGTATTATTTATTTATTTATTTTTTTTTTTTACTTTTTATTCATCAATGACTATTTGCAACATTGATCAAATCACATATTGGATTTCTGATGGATCATGTGACACTGACGCCGGGAATAACAATGCTGAAAATTCAGCTTGTATCACAGAAATAAATTATATTTGAAAATATATTAAACTACAAAACCATTATTTTAAATTATAATAATATTTCACAACAATATAAATGATTTTTCAGTGTTTTATATCAAATAAATGCAGGCTTGATGAGCATATGATACTTATTTCAAAAACATTAAAAATAGTAGGTTTTCTTTCCAAACGTTTGACCAGTACAGTACATTCACTTATTAATATTATTGATTCTGTCTTTTTTTTTTTTTCTGCGTGTTGAGGTCCTAAGCTTCACCAAGGCAAATAGCAAATGTGTGTAAGCAAAATACTTGACAATAAATCTCATTCTGATTCTAAAATAGCATATGTGCTCACATTTACTCTGAGGTAAAGTGTGTATGGTAACTTAGTATTAGCCACAACAACAAACAGCAGTACTGTTGTATGACGTCATACAAAAATAAACAAAAAGACCCGCGAGAAGTTTTGCATAAACACCCCGTATGTGTGCTTTGAAATGATATATTTTTGACACTGGATGAGTTATCTATATCTTAAATGTATTAAAATAACAGTAACACCGTTGCACACAGAAGCCTAATTATTAAAATTATTAAAATAACGTTCACTTAGATGTTTTTTTACAACAACTACCTCATAAAATATCTCAATCTTTAACGTTATAAGCACTATTTTGTCCAAAAGGCATCATCATCTGCAGCTGAATGCGTGGAGCTTACATCTTTCGACTATTATTTTAATAAACGGATAAAAATCCAAATGTGTACCGTTAAGTCTCGTGCTGATCTCGCGCTCTTGTAGTACAGCACGAGCGCGCGCGGATCAGTCTCTGAGAGTGTGACACGCACCGAGGCCTACTCTAATACTCACACCCACTGTTAACCCACAGCAGACAGACGAGTCAATCACTTCAAATTTCAACTCTGCACCCCTAAAATAACGTGGGATACCTATGTAACAAACAAAGCAGCGCATACATCGCCCTAACAGAACTGCAATTACGGTTTAATGGCGTGAAAAACAAGTCGCGAGATCAGTCATGGTGTAGAAACGAGAGTTAACGTTACTAATTTAAAACTAGTTGCTATACTTTTACGCTATGAATGCGTATATTAGTATACCTGGCACGATAAACAAGAAAAAAATATGGAAGTGCGTAACTTACCTTTTGATATTTATGTTCCTGTTTTGATTTGTTGCATCATCTGACATTGTTTTAGAGTAGAGTTGTCTACTGAAAGCGATTAGCAACAACATAAGCCTTCGCCGCAGTCTGAGGTCGTTTCAGACGAGCAAGATAAATCGCAAACGGCGTGAAAAAGGTCGCGGGTCGGATATCGTCCAGCTTTTTAGTCCAAATTCAAAACCCCATCTGGGTAATCCAGGGAATTTTCTCATTTTCGGCCATGAGAAAAGAGGCGTGCCACATAAAACCCCAAACCATAAAAACATTCAAAATGGAGATTACAGTAGAGGTCCGTGGTGACACTGTTTACAACATGCAGTGCGACCTATTGGCAGTGATGAGTTATTACATCTCGCCTCTTAGTACAGTGACTTCACTGGGTGAGTGTAACCTCGGTGATATCGCCACCATAAAACACACACGCACACACACACACACACACAACCTTTTCTTCACTGTTTCAATACTTATATAATTCATATTTGTTTAGTCATGAAAAATGTGTTTAAACACGCTTCAGTTGTTAAATAACATTTCAAAGTGTTTACATTCATTTTTGTTGTTGTTTCATAATGCATGCTTTTGTTGTATAGCCTATGTTTGAGAGAGATCAAACCTTTTCATTGCCGCTCAAGGATCATTTGGGGTCTTCTGGATGATTAATTATTACGTTTTGTCAATTCATAAAAAAGTAAAATAAAAACTAATATGTGCAGTTGTGCCACCCATTGCTAGACAATGTTTTTCAATGATCTCAACAGAAATTAGTTTATATGAAAGGTTTCAAACATAAAATATATATGCCATAGTATTTAGTTTAGGTTTTTTTTAGCCTATTAAAGCACTATTTTAAATAGTTTGCTTAGTCTATTCATTTGTTCAGGCAGTTGGCATTTTGGGGGTTGACGATAACAAAACGGAAGGAATGCACTTGGACAGAAAAAAATGTGCATGTCGTTGACCTATATAAATGATCATGAATAGAAGTAAAAAAGACTAGGCCTATTAATGAAGTTTGTGTTTCAAATACAATTTCTTAGCTTAGCTTTATTTAGTTTCTGGGCATTTATTATTGATCAGATTGTCTTATGCATCTTCTTGCAATATATCATAGAAATACATCCATTTTATTATATCCTAAAAAATGTTTTTGTTTGTTTTTTACATGCAGTTAAAAATCAATTAGATGAGTACAGTGTAAAGTTGTTCAGGATAAATATTAACAAATGTAAGCTGAGAATGCAATACTGTTCAAAACACTGCTTTAAATGGCATGGGGTCACAACAGACAAACCAGTTTATTTTTATTACAGATATGTTCTGATGCGGCAGTTCTGAAATTCAACCCTGTGCTGTCGTTTAAATAAATAAAATGTAAACAGAATTTATTTAAAAATATTGAATGAGTCTACATTGGGTTACACAAATGAAAGGAGGGTCAGGTGTTCACTTTACTGACTCTTCAAAATATCATGCGACTCTTCAACTAAAGTGCTGCTAGTAGACTACATTTTTTTTGTTAAGACTTTCAAAGAAATTAATAATAAAATAAGTCAGTGAATTATAAGTACAGAATAAGTCGTGGTACTTAGTTTGTATTTATAAATGTTGTTATAAAGTAACAACATTTTATTTTTTTCCAATAAATTTTAATTTTTTTAATATTTTACTATTTTAAAGTTCACATAACTTGTTTTTTTTTCAATTATGCATGAAGTTTATTTACTTTAAAATTTTAAGGCAACGGGTTTCCTCACTTTTTACAGAAAAAATACAACCTGTGCCACTGCAGAAGAAAGATTAAAAAAAAAATGTATTAAATAAATGTATTGGGTACATGTTCAGAATAAACAAATCATTACGCTCATCTGAAAACGGGTGCCTGTAAATCTCAGCTGTTCTTGTAAGATTTTTCTGTCCTCGTGGTTGCATCCATTATATGGAACACAGTGGAGACGGACAGTAATCAGCAAGGGGACAAAGTTTGTCACAACAGTGTTATTACCAAGAATGGTATACTCTGTCCCTCCAAAATTGTTGAAGACAAAGATAAATCTGGTCATGGAGGCTGTAAAGAGGCATAAAGCATCGTAAAAAGAGTTGCAGCTCTAGTACTGAGCACATTAGCACAAGAACACCATACCTATGCATTTTGAAGCCTAGTGGGGGCAGTATCATGCTTAAGGCAGCTTTTCTTCAGAAGGAACTGCAGGGGCTTACTATAAAAAAATATTGTTGGTTTAACTTAAATGAAGTAATCTGGTTGTCTTAAAATTTTAAGTTGATTGAAATGGAAAAAGTGAGTTAATACAATGGAGATTGATTTAATCATCACTCAAAATAATAAGTTATCTGAACTAAATAAATTAAGTTGATTTGACAAAATAAAAAAATGTTGTGATAACAAATCTTGAATATATATATATATATATATATATATATATATATAATTACAGTGAAGGTGGAGGGAATCATAAATAGCACAAAGTATAGTAATTTTTGGCACAGAAGCTTCTGGCTTCTGCTAGAAAGCTGAAAATAAAGGGAACTTTCAGCATGACAATGATCCAAAACACTCATCTAAATCATCTAAAAAATGGCTTCAGCAAAGAAAGATGAAAGTTTCGAATGGCCCAGCCAGAGCCCAGACCTTAATCAGAAAATTTGTGGGGGATCTGAAGAAGGCAGAGTCACAACAGCTGTTTTGATGGACTTTTTGCTATTAGGGGTCAACGTTTGTCAAGGCAACAACCCCTTAGGCGAAAGAGGGTTTGTAGATTTCAATAAATTGAGATATAAACTTTACTTAACATTTTTTTTCTTCTTTTTTTTCTTCTTCAGTTTTTTTTTTTACATTTAAAATGATTTAAAAATGGCTGCTGCAAAAAACACGTTGTAAATAGGAACATTTCACATTCTTCAGAGCGCAAATAAAGCCATAGAGTTGTGTTTCGCCAATATAAAATATTATATTATTACAGTATCAACTGAGGGTGGTCTTGATTTTGTTTCAGGGAGCTTATTTAAATTTAACTGGGATGTTTTTGTCATGATTCTGCCATCTAGTCCTTGCCTTTCTTTAAAGGGGCACTTCAGCCATTTACATTAAGCTTTGTATCTTTAGAAACCCAGTCATATTTTTGAATGGTTATGGTTTATTCCCTTATTTTCCTCTGAGATGGGAGAAATAATGATTTCAGTGTTCTACTTCCTGCTTTATTATGATAAAAATCATCATTTTGCGTCATAATAAGCAGGAAGTCACATTTCATTGAAAAGTGTAGAGACCACAAACAATAGCTCATTATTATTCAAGGGTGTGGGACCCACTCACCCTACAGGCCTATTACAGATCAGTGGGTGGGTCTTCACTTGCAGATTCTGAATCAGTATCAGCCATCTTGTTTGGAAGCTAAGCTAACAAGCGCTGTGGAGATAGGAAGTTATGACAATGCCAGAAGAAACTAAACCTGATCTGGAAGAAGAAGACTTTGAAATTCTTCTGCTCGAATCCGATGTTTGTGGTTATCTTTACGAGTCGCAGTATATTGAAGAGCAGCTGAGGCTGATTGAGAAACAGGAGGCGGCTGCCTGTCGCGGTCGAGGAGCCCGGACTGGTGCTTGTGCTCTCGCTTTGCACTACGGATACAGATAGAGTCCGTCTGCTGCAGAGAATTTCAACAATGCCAATTTCTGCTGAACGAAATCTCTGAATCAGACGAGCACACGGACTTTTGTGTTGTGATGTGAATCATCCTAGTTTTGCCTGACTGAACATTCCGGTATCATGCAGTAATTTACCATATAGAAAGAAATACAAATGAGTTTGCCAATGTAACGGGGTTCGTTGTTGTGGGAAGGAGGGGGCGGGAACCGGCGAACATTTAAACATTTTAATCATAAAATGAACAAATATAGCCCCTCATTGATGACTGCTGTCCACACACAACAGAAACAAAACACAACATAAAATCAGGTCTGTTCCTCTCTCGATCTGCCTTGTCGTCGCTCCTCGTTTATGCCTCCGTTCCTCCTTGAGAGAGGTGTCTTTTATTATCACTCACGCCAGAGTAACTAGAAATTATATGTGGAATGAATTTTAAACTCTGGCACCAGCTAAAGTTAGCTTTTTAGACGGAAGAGTGATTTCTCTGAAGTTTACGCTGTTCTGGATTAGTGGGTGTGGCTTGTGGAGCTTTGCAATGTGGTGCATTGTTGTCTTACATACAAATGCCCCCTAAAGTTATTTTCTTCTTTTCTCGGTCAAGGGCACCAAATTCAAAATTTCTTTTACATTTCGACAACATATGACCCACTTTAATAAAGATTAATGTTAAAATGGGTGGAATGCTCCTTTAAGTCTTGTGCCAGGATCATGACAGACTCATATTTTGTGTGCAAGCACATGGCTTTGTGTTCGTGCCACATGCTTGTGTTGTCTTGTTCCCTTGCCGCACCCATTGTTATCCTCATTTTGTCCTTTGCACCTTAATCAGTATCACCTGGGCCAGTTTTTTCAAAAGGTTAAATCCGGATAAAATTGATCCGGATTTAGTAATCCTTTTTTTTGTGATCCGTAATCACGTAATCCAGCTTTGAGCCAGTTTTTCAAAGCAACATCGGATTGGATCAATCTGATCTGGATAGGAACTTTTCGGGATCACCAAATCTGGATAACCAATGCTCAAACAGGATAGGAAATCACAAAGTAGAACTATGTAAAGAGCAACAGGTAGACAAAACAAGTAACAAACAATGTAGATTGAAGCTAATTATAACAAGATGTATTGAATAATAAAAAAGACTTAATGTCAAATACGCCACAATAATTTCAGACTTCCTCATCTGATGTGGAGAGACCAGCTTGTCTGAGTGTAGCCTTTAGGAGGCGGATATCAAGTCTGGCCTTGGTTTGCTGCAGTTTGGTCAGAGTCAGTTGTTCTGCCAGAACGAGCAAAAAGGACGTGCAACAAGGGACGCAGTTAGACTCTATTTCTGATTTGGATTTGTTTAGGATTTCAAAAATCAGTGATTACCATTCTTTGCATTTTTTTATTTATTTATTTTTTTTGGTTATTCTGGAATCATTGCATGCATCACTAATAAATATTTTTAAAACAAAAATATTTTCAATTGTAATGAATATATACAGTACATATATCAATTAGTGACAGAATAAAATTTATTGTTTTTGGTAAATTTTCAGCCTTTCACTATAGGCCTTCTGGAAAGTAGATACTGAAAGGCTGAATACGCTAAAGCTGAATACCTAATCACTGTAGCCTAAAAGATGAACAAATAAAATAAAAACTTATGAATAAAAAGGATATCTTGTAAGAGACTGCTTGATCCAAATATAGGATTATTTGATGCATTTTTTTAAGTTTTCATTACATTTTGGGCATGAAATCCACGTTGAATCCACCCTTCTAATGGGATCAGTTTAATCCAGATTTTTTTTTATCAAAGTGATCCAAATCCTACATAAAAGTTTTGAAAAACCCAAGGTTTGATCTGGATCAAAACCAAGATTGGATTATGTGATCTAATCTGATTATGTAATCCATTTTTTTTTTTTGAAAAACCCATTTTCAAGATTTGATCCAATCCGTTATCCAAAATCCTATTGGATTACTTTTGAAAAACTGGGCCCTTTGTCATTGTTAGTTTCTCCCTATTTAATCCCCTTGTGTTTGCTGTTCTGTGCCGGTTCATTGTTGAACATTGTGAGATTCTACCTGTGAGTACCCTGTCTTGGTAGAAGTTCTTGATCTTGTATTTGCTCTCTGTTAATAGTCTAGGTTTTCTTGTAGCGTTTTCTAGTTTAGTAATTCCTCGTTCGTTTTGCCGCCTTGTGGGTTTTGTTTCCCCCTGTTTTGTTATAATAAACGTTGTATTAATTGTCTACCGTCTGTGCTTGGGTTCATCTGCTATCATCATAACAGTTTTAATATGTGCAATGGATTCATGCGAACAGGGATCGTTTTGACAACGTTGTCATCTATATGTCAAATGCAAAGGAAAACCATTTTTTTCCATATTTACTACATTCAGCATATTAATAAAACTGTAGACATGCTGTAGACGTAGACATGCATATGGAGAAACAGGAGAGCTAGGAAGGTTTTGTTTATGTCAGTCATGTGATCCCCTGTTATAGTCATGATGTGATCCTGCCATGTGTTCTCCATGTGAATGTCATTGGTTGAGTGTCTTGATTATGTTCACAGATGTCCCTTGTCTTTAGTCTTGTGCTTTTAAGCCCTCATGTTTGCCATGTGACATTGTTTGTGCCCACGCGTTCATGTTTTGAGTTCATGCCTTTGTTTTATGTTTGATCCTGTTTTGAATAAATGCGGTCCTTCAAACTTGCCTTCGACTTACAGAAAGGGGGTGGTCTGTAAGTTAAGTTTCCATTTTAATGTGAAATGGGTGGTGTACATAACTCTAATTTACTGCAAGGAAAAGGATCGAATCCTCACTCTCAAAAGCACACCATGGAGCTGAAAAATAAATAATTGCAATAATGGCACTCTTCTGCTTCCATTAAGCTCGAAGGCCGTCCACGCAGAAACATTCAAATCCACATAAATGGCTCCTCTCTGAGGCAGGGGTGGCTGAAATCCAGAGAATACTAAAAATCTAGGTCAATGGATTGCTGCACAGCTATGACGGCTCCTTCCTCCAGAGAAGTGTATGCGTTACACTTATCGATGGATGAAGACCACACAGTTTGACCAGTAATCCAAGTAATGAACAGATAATATGTGTTTATACATGGATTATGTGTAATGCAGCATCTAAGCTTTACATGAATCAGTGGATGAATGGAGTAATGCACATTTTTATTTGATTTATTGCATTTCTTAATTCGCATTTTACACTTATTGCAGTGGCTCCAGACAGGGCTGAATGAGTAAAGAGTGATGGTACCTTAAGAGTTGTCCTGCATTATTTAAGTGTTTTAAAGGCAGTGGCTGCAGGCATTTCTTCAACTTTGCATGTCATGCACCTGCTTTAAAAACAAGGACTAAATAAAATCAGACGGAGTACATCTTGGCAGCCTATAGTTAAATGATTCATGTCATCTGAGAATTGAGTATTTTTAGCAGTGGCCTAGAGAGAAGAAACTTCATCTCGAAATCAGAAGATATCATTATGTTCATGCCTGTATTCCTGTACGTATCGATGCATCCATTTGCGGGTCCTTTATAATGAAACATTATTGCAGATAAAAAGAAAACAGCAGAGCATTTGCCATCTGAATCCCACTCACAGTTTCTCCTGTCGGTGCCTAGCAACACTTTTTCAGCAGAATACACAAAATTAGCAGGGTAAGCGTGACCACAGCCTCAAAGCCATCGCTCAGTGAAGCTGAGCTCACAAATTCCTTGAAACAAGATCAGCACACAATGCCAAAGGTTTGCATGCCTAAATAAACATGTTCTCTAACTCAAACAATCCATTATGTTGTGAGGGCAAGTCAATAAAATGTCATTAAGTCTGTGATATAAATTCAGAGGGGATTTTACAAAACATTCTGAAACCGCAAAACCGGTCGAGTTGTAATAGTGATAAGAAATATATCATTTAACCCTCAAATTACTGTAAAATGTACTGTATGTTAGCTGCCTAGTAAGCCAACTGGAACCAGGTTTATGGGGATCTGTCCGTGGTCCTGAAACCATAATATACACAGAGGTCCCCTAAAAAAAAGATAATCTCTCGAAAGGCATGTGGGATTTGAGCACAACCACTACTAATAAATCAATGAAGTTCTGAGATGAAACTGTTCAGTGCATCCTTACCAATTCATGTTCTTATCTAGCACAGTAATTGCATGAGCATGTTTGGAAATCTGGAGAAGAAGGGGTAATGCTTGTATCTTTCCAGCTGTCATTTTCCTTTAAGATGATGTAAGGCTCATCTCCCTAAGAATGGTCTCCCTCCCCCGTCCTAAGCCTCTCTCAGCACGCTGCATTCATTCGCACTACACTGCTGATGCTCTGGAGAGTAAGGATGCTCAAACTTCCCAACGCACCCTCCTTTTCAACTCGGGATCTTTTTAATGAAATGCTGGGTGGGAGCCAAGTACATGTAGACTAACTGTTCTGGACGGACCAGATTTCATGAGAGAGAAGCACTCTTCTGAAGGAAGTTGAAGCTGTCTTGGTTGGTGCAGTTTTTCATTTTTCATAAGCTGAACTTATTTTTGGATCCTCAGCTGGAGGTTACACGAGCTGCACAATTGGTTCCCTTGGGTGAGAGCTCTTCTATTTCTACATTATTATAAATAACAGGAGATGTGAGTTGAGAAATATCATCTGGCAATAGATGACCAGTTGTATTAGTGGGAGAAGGCGAACAGTCTCACTGTGTCATTTCGATATACATTTATACTTTCACAAACACTCTGCAGGTCCTCAGAGATGCTGTACTTAACACAATGGACTGTGAACGTCTGTTAAAGAGTGTGCAGGTTATGTTCCTCTTGACTTTTTGCTCACTAAAGAGAAATCAAAAACTTTTGTATATTCGTTTTTGCATTTTTTGAAGTGTGCAACGCCAAAATGGCCCTGACTGAAAATTGCAGGACTTATCAAACGCCCAAGGACAGTGGATGTGCTCAGAGTTGCTCTTCTGATGTGATTGAGCTCAATGTAGGTGGACAGGTGTATTACACACGCCATGCCACCCTAACCAGCGTGCCCAACTCTCTGCTGGGGAAATTATTTTCCACTAAAAAGGACATTTCCAACGACCTCGCGCAGGACATCAAGGGACGCTACTTCATTGACAGGGACGGATTTCTGTTTCGTTATGTTTTGGACTATCTCCGCGATAAGAACGTCGTCCTGCCGGATTATTTCCCGGAGAAGGGAAGGCTGAAACGGGAGGCTGAGTTCTTCCAGCTACCCGAGCTCGTCAAAATCCTGACACCAGATGATTACATCAATGATTTTGACGAAGCATCCCAGGGAAGCGATCAGAGACTGTTCCCTGCATCTTACCTGGACACGCGCGATAGGTGCTACGGCTTCATCACGGTGGGATACAAGAGCTCGTGCGCCCTCGGGAGGGACGCTGATCCAAAAGCTCGAGGAATACCCAAAATCTTTATTTGCGGAAGGGTCGGTCTGGCCAAAGAAGTTTTTGGGGACACGTTAAACGAGAACCGGGATCCTGACAGGGCACCTGAGCGATACACTTCTCAGTTTTCCCTGAAGTTTCGCCACCTCGAGCGAGCGTTTGATATGCTCGCGGAGAGCGGATTCCACATCGTCGCGTGCAATTCATCACTCACCACATCTCCTCACAACAGACATACCGATGACAGAAACTGGGCCAACAACACGGAGTATGTCTTCTACCGTAAGTAGCTACAGCAAAAAAAAAAAAACAACAACAATAGCAGTCGGGCAGTATCTCTAAATAATAATCGATTGTTGTCAATTATATGGATTTAAGGCCAATTCGAATTATTTTTTCTTCACTAGGCCTATTCAGAAATGTTTGACCACTGAAAACCACGACTGGTCAATCAGAATCAAATAGGCTATAACAGTCCTCCAATTTATAAAATCCCAATAAATAAAACATTCAGGATAAAGTAAATTTGAGTTAGATGCACATTACCAGCACCAGTTTGCACACTTTTCTCAGCCGGAACCGCTAGGCGGCGTAACTTACATAGTTTGTTCAATCCTGATCAATTCTATAATCTGGCTCAAATTTAATTGTTCTCAATTCTGTATGTGCCAAATGCACGTCGCTTCAAATATTAGTTGACTGAACTGAGTTTTTTTTTTCCAGTAAGAACATTGATAGAACAGAGAGAGAGAGAGAGAGAGAGAGAGAGAGAGAGAGAGAGAGAGACACGCTCTTGAGCCAATGCAGATTTGAAGAATTCCCTCAAGTAGGCTATATCTCTCAGGAATATGAACAGAGTGTGGCATATGAATATTTCAGTAATCTACCAGAGTCCCCCCCTCTATCTTTTTAGCTCTTTATTTAAATACATGTGCACCTTTTGGATATAATTGTTCTCCATGCCTGCCTTCATTAGTAGTTCATTTGACTTGCTTTTGTCTTAAATGAGAAGAGATGTTTAAGCATATGGCCAATTAAAAATCACTTTGTGCTTAATTCCAAACGAGTCCCCTTGGAAAACATAAAAAGAGTGGGCCTGGAACCGAGAGCTTTTGGAGGACAGTCACTAGATCTTTTGGGGCGAATGGGCATATGGCTGCTTAATGATTTGTTCTCTGTCATCAGTATAATTACTGCAGCATTCACCCCTACACCCCATACACATAATGGAAAAACTTATGACAAATCAAGATATAAAATAAAGGTATGAAGATGCCAAATTGTACGTCACGGTTAGGCCTATATCTACGCCACAGTCACGCTGATATTCAAAACAACTGCATGATTGCAAATTGGTTTTACTCAACAGTTCATTAAACACAAAGTTAAAATCAGCATGAATTGTAACTTCACCCTATCTAGTTTTTTTCTAAATGCATTGATCTTATTGTGAACTATACATCTGTACATGTTTCTTTCTTTTTTTAACCTTGTGTTTAATCAAAATGTCAGATGTATGCAGGACTTCTCCAATTATAAAGTCACTTAAACCCCATCCTTGCAAGCTAGCAGTCATCTTCCTCCACTTTTGATGGCAAAACCCACATATAAACATCCAATCAAAATCCGATGCATTGAACAAAGTCCCCGCCCTTCATTTTTTATTTTTCTGTAATCCATAATCTGTAATTCTGTAATTAAAGTTTAACTCTGATGTACATCACACTATGGTAGGAAAAAATCTATCACTACTTCGGTTTTATTGTAACTTACATTTCAAACACAATAGTGCAGTTGCTTTGTAATTTTTTTGTCCACCAAGCCCAAGCAGAATTAAACGTTGTCTCAGACTGTATCAGTGTTTTATTCAAGAATGAATCAGTGTTTTCAAACAAATCAATTAAATTAATGATTCAATGACTTGTAAAGTCAATCATTGGTTTCATTCCTGAATAATTCAGTGTATTTGACTGAATCGGATGAATAAATAATACAATGAATTAGTGAGCCACTCAGTCAGATGCTATATAAGGTAAATATATTAAGAACATACATTTTCTCTATTATAATCAGTTACGTAATCAGATTACTTAAGTAACAGGTGAAGTAACACAGTTTTCCTTTTATGTTTTTATTAGGAACGCATTTGATTGGCAAGTTCAAGTATGCATATTTGTTTTACAGGGAAATGATATAATGATATACAGTATTTATATAAGACCATTGCTGAACTTTATATGGCAGATACGATTTTATGGCTTTTCTCAAAGATTTACAAGAAAACTCAAGAATCTCAATGGCCAATCACATACGAAGTATCTTTCACAAAAAATCACATGTATCACCTAAAAATTCAGATTCTCACATTAAACTTCACAAAATTGATTTTTTGCCTATAGATGAGCGAAATAAGAAATGACAAAAGACTCTTTATCTACTTAGTTGTTACTTTATATTAGGGTAAGATGTGACAATCTGTACACATTGGATTTAACCTGAAAGGGGACATGGCTTTAAATCCTAACCTATTACTTCTTTTAATTAAACAAAACAAATGAATTTGACAGCTATTTTTAATGATAATCATACATTTTCATGATGAAAGAAGAAACAGAAAAAAAGAAGCAGGTTTGATATTCTTTTCCACAGGAAAAATGTCATGATTGTTGAGAGACATGAGGGTGTGTCAATGATGACATCATTTTCAGTTTAAAGCAAAAAATACTAATACTATAAATGACTGTTAATGTGTTTTCCTCCACAGTGTTAGACTATTGTGCATTGTATTTGTTGCATTTAAAGGGCACCTATTATGGAAAATTCACTTTTACATGGTGTTTGAACATAAATGTGTGTTGGCAGTGTGTGAGCAAAACACACCCTATGATAAAAATCCACCCAGTGTTTTTTTTACAATCTCAATAAATCATAAGCACTGTCTCAGAACGAGCTGTTCTAAGATTCAGCGCTTTGTGATGTAGAATTGAGCAAGGGGTTTGATTGACCGTGTGTTTGTGGCATAGACCCCGCCCTCGGTGATCTGGACACCAGATCCAGATCCGTTTTTTCAACGACAGCCGGTAATGTCTCTTGGAAACATAAGTGTTCTGTTGTGGGATGGGATGTAATAATGATGACATATATAGTAGTTTTCACTTATTTCCAACACCAGAGCCACTGAAAACACTGTGGATGTATTGTATTTTGGAAGTTTAAGTGGCGCCTTTCCTTCGTAAATAAGTTTGTTTGAGCGAATCATTTTCTGACTGACTGTTTTGTGAACGAAGGTCAATACAAAGCAGGTCTTGCTTCAAAGTTAGTGGATCGTCGTCTACTGTTTGCGATCAGTCACCTCCAGTAAGTGTATTTTATGATTTTTGAGCAAATAGTAATTTCAGTCGATGTCAGCCAATTCAACAACAAATGAGTCTAAAGTTGTTGTCGTCGTCGTAGGATGTCTGTGTATATACAGTAATTTAAAACTTGTTTGTATAGTGTGTAACCACACGTTTATAAATATACATATTTTTAAAGATATTGTATTAAAAAACTGCATATGTGTTCTTGCCATCTTCTCACATTTGCCACAGAATCACCTGTATGACAAGTAAACATGACGCAACAGGTTCCTCGCATAAATGTAATTTCGTTTGTACGTAGCAAACTTTATCACAATATGTGTATGTAGTTTCAAAAAATTGCGCCAACGTTAGTGTTTGTGTGTGTCTGTGTGTGTTGCACATCCATAATTTCAAAGGGGACGCGATTACAACTCTATAAGTACATAAATGTATCAAATAACCATACTGAGACGTACTGGTCCATTCTCATTTGTGTTTATTCTGCCGGAGTCTCTTCGTCATCTGGGTCTGATCAGAGACTATTTATATATTCCAATTCAAACATGTACGTCTGAATGACATACAAAACAGAGGGTCTCTCACTCTCAGCCCTTCTTCTTACCGACTGCCATAGATATTAAGTTACGCCCTCATCCAAAGGCTGGGCGGGGATATGCAGCTCATTTGCATTTTAAGGTCGTATAGCCCAAAACAGCTCATTTTAGAACAGGCCCCAAGGTATTTTGAGGTGAAACTTCACATATACATTCTGGGGACACCCGAGACCAATATTACATCTTGTAAAAAGGGGCAAAATAGGTGCCCTTTAAAGTTGCATTTAAAATAACTCTGTTAACAAGATAAAATGATAATGTTAGATGCTTTTCTAATAATGGTTGAAATGTCATATTTTCAGTTTACAGCATGATTGGTAGATTCTTGTTTCTCTTCTGAATTAGTTTGCTCTTGAATCCCCTGGTAAATTAACCAGTTGCTTTTTCCAGGCCTCACTGCCTTATTTGTGATGTTTCTTCCCAGAACTTCAACCACATGACACATTTGACCAATTTAGACTGCCCAAATGATTAGTAACATATAATTTGCAGTCAATAGGGTTGCTTTTCTCAGTTTCTCCTTACAGCTTCTTGCATGCCTATTTTTCTTTGTCTCACTCGTTATTTAACATGCCATTGCAGCCCATTCGTTAAAAATGTGCTGCAGGTTGTCCTTGACATTTTTTTTTTTAATTATTTGTACCAACTGCTCAGTTTTGTCTTTGAATGATTTAATAGTCGTGAGTGACTAATGGCCAAACATCACAGTTACAGTGAATTCTGTTAGACGAGAATCATCATGCAATTCGTAAACATCTCACACATAGCCACATTTCATAGCTGCATGTAGACGGGAACTCGTTTACTGACTTTTCCCCCTCTCTCTCTCTTTTTTTTTTATTGCCTGCATCAGTTTTTGCATTCCATTTTGACCCTAAATTTTTAACTTGATGTCAAGGCTTTGAAGTCGAAATATTTTAAATTCTACACGTTGCAGTGCACATTAATGACGAACAGCCCAGAATATGTAAAATAATACTTGTTTTTTCTCGTGAAAGTTAATACAATAAGAATAATTTATGAAATATTTAGAAAAAAGTTGATCATTATCAGTAACAATACCCCTTTTCAAATGGATGAGTTTGATTCGTTTGATCGTTAAACTATATAGCTAATTATTTACATCATAAGCCATCTTGGAAGTTTTCCAATTAATAATCTATTAAATGTTTCTTAAGGTCACCTCTCTGTTGCCTAAGAATACTGATGATCTATGGCATGTTTTTGCATCATAAAGCAGAATCATCCTGTGAAGATGACTCTGCATGCACAATTATCGTAGAATTTAGCTCACACTATATAATTTTGCATTTAATGTAACCCAACA